GGAAGTCTACTATCTACAGTAAAAATTTTAGCTCAAATGGACATAAGGGTAAAAAGTTATGGTCTAAATACTAAGCAGTGTCTAAAATCCTTTTTACCTAAATTTTATCTAAAATGTGTTTGAACTCCAGACTACTTCCAATTCACATACCTTATTACCTCGCCTAACATTTTTATTTCTACGTTTACAATCCACGTAGTTCATGCATACATTATCATATATATTAGTATTTCAAAAATAATTACATTATTATATAATGATAAGAATGTGGGGGTTTATATAATTTAAGTTAATTATCTATGAAATAACTAATTCACTGTACCAACATGCAACTTTCATATCTTTCTATTGGATCACAACATAAAAGAACCATGTAATAATACAAATACATACTGCAATGAAGTGAAAAGATAAAAGAATTATGATATTTCAAGATACTTCTGTGGAGAAAAATACTTAGTCTACTCCAAGAATACGTAATTTTAAGCAACACGGCTAACATATCACAATTTTGAGGACACCAATAATATTGTTAGGATAGATACCAAGCTAATTAAAAGTTAGAATTGCAAAATGGATTTTTTGGGAAAATTAAGAGCTCTGACAAATGATGGAAAAATAAAAGAAAATTAATCAAAACTTGTAACTTACGACAGTCAAATGAATTAGTTACACAAACAAAAGAAAAAACAACAATACTGAAAGTGTTTATTGTAATGGGCTATAAAGTTGGACCAGCAAATATCCTCTAGTGACGAGTAGAAATTGTGAAATAAGGTACTAGACACACATTAAAATAAAATCAAAAATCGAGTAGAAAAAAGAGTAAAAAATTCAAACTTGAATAGATTGTCATCGAAAAATGATCGAGCGATATAGTTCCTTAGATAACTTAAAAAATAGTTAAATTCTCCTTCAAATGCTGAGCAGTAAAAGCACCAATCAATCTCCTTGCTTAAAAGGAAAGTGGAATTGTAGATTGAGGACACCCAAAACATAGAAAATGAAAATGGAGAAAAAGTAACATGTCATATAAGTAATACATTGTCAAACGTATAACTGTAAAATATGTATGTTTTTAATTTTTATCATAGAAAAAATAAAAATTAATTTTATATTTTTTTATAAAAAAAATATAAAAACAAAAACATAACCTAAAACCCCCTAAATTACAAACAAGGACAGTCTTTGTTGCTTTAGTAGAGTTTTCTCATCTCTGTCTCCCTGTCCTCTCTATTTAAAAACCTTTTCCCTTTCACTCTGTCTCTGTCTCTCTCTCTCTCCCTCTCCATTTTGCAGTCCTCGAATCATTAGAGTCCCCCAAATCACGTCCAGAATTCTGAATTCCTGACTGTGAATTCCAGAACAAACTTGTGACAGTTTAGTTTTCGTTTAGATCGGTTCTCAAACACCAGTCAAACCCCTTCATACTCCAATGTAAAATCCACTTTACCACAGATCTACTTTACTGAACTGTGTTTTAGAAAGAGAAAGTAGAGAGAGGGTGTTTTGAGAGTTGGTTTTTGGTCTTATGGCTGCTTTGCAGGCGACGACTGTGAGCAGTTACGGATCAACGCCTTCATGTAAGGCCGACGTTGTTGTGCCCGATCAGTTTCCGATAGGGTTGAGAGTTCTTGTAGTGGATGATGACATCATTTGCTTGAGAATTTTGGAGAAAATGCTTCGAAGATGCATGTACATGGGTAAGTTTTCTTTTTTGCCTTTTGTTCTCTTTATTCTGTTTCTAGTTGCCCCTGTAGAATTTTGATTATTGGATTAATCTTGTGAAGAAATGCCACCAGTTTGAGATTATAAAGGAGATTTTAGGTGCTTAGTTGTGGGTGGTGGTGATTTTGCAAATTTATTATGCATTAATTTGATTTTAGTGGTATAACAAAGAAACTGTTAGTTTGAAATTGACATTGCTTTGGAACCCTAAGCCTAAGGAATATGGATGATAACCATGAATCAATTCAAAAAAGACTGGGAGGTTGTGTGTTTGAGTTTTCCTGGGGCAGTTAACCTTGTAATTAACTGCTGGTGCATGTGGGTTGGGGACTATATGTGCCCAGTTGCTTCAAGAGGCATAAATGCATTTTTGTTTGTTGAACAAGAAACAAATGTTACTTTGGGTGCCTGTGAAAGTTGTATGCTGTGTATGCAATGTCAGACTAATTCATTATAGTTGCTTTTGATGTGGGCAAAATCTAGTTTTCTTGGATTGTTTCATACAGTGTAATGTGGTCATATGGACAAGTTTGATGGACAAAATGGTACTTACCTTGTTTGACCAAGGGAAGAAGTTTTTTTTATTGGAAAGTAATTTTGTGTTCTCTAGTTTGCCGTCATGGCTTACGGTAGGGGTGGACTGGGTTTAATCCCCACTGTTATGTTATTTGCGCAAATTAACCACCTTGAAATTTGAAGCCATAGCCTTATGGGTTGTAATCTGGCCATTTTGTTATTGCATTAGGATCTCTAGTTCAGATACGTGTATTGACCAATGTGTATGAGGTTTTGCTTGCTCAAATTTATGGACTTGGAAATCGGATGCTTTACCTGATTTGGAACTAAGTTTTTGCCTTCATTACTTTGTTGTTCCATAGATTTTCATTTGATAGAACTTATTTTAGTTAACTTGGCCATCTTGAACTTTGTTGTCTACTTGTACATTGTGTTGCTTGTCCGACTGTGATTTAATATGTTGTTGCTGTATTTGCATGTAGTGAGAGCAGCATTATTTTGCTGCTTACTTGCTTTAGGAAGTTGCAACGCATTGTCCATCAAAGAGCATTTAATTAACTGATAGCAGATGGAGGGAACTATATGCAGAAGAAACTAGAAGGGAAAATATGTTTCTAACAGTTATATGCATCATGATGTTTTGCTCTGAGGACGTCTTAGTAATTCATGGGTCAGGATACTAATTTATCTAGATTAACTATTATTTGTGTTATTTAATTTATTTTTCTTGATAGGAGTTTACTGGTTTTATTCTCTGAAGTTTTCTTTATTCTCAGAAGTTTTAAGTTTAAAAGTTTCTAAGTTTCTGTGGAATTTTTGACTTTAAGAGTCTACTTTGACACTTTGACTCGAGTTAGGAGGTCTTCTTGAGTTGCAATCAGCTCATAATAACTCCGAAACTCTCAATGTTGATGTAATTGAAGTTCTATCTGGTTTCAATATTTACGACTACAATTCTTCAAAGATTAATGTGTCCTTATGATTTTCTGGCATCTTTGATATAAAAGAAGATTAAACTTGATTAGTCTCTTTAGGATTTTTGCTTTTCAGTGTTGAACTATTGTTATTACCGCTTTATATGTACCTCCAATCCCTTGGCACCCTACAAAATTAGTATCCTCACCATGTTCCTGCCACAACCATCACTACCACCACTATTACCACCTTGAATGTGTCAAAGCTGCTATCACTGCAGCTTCACTGTTCAATTCCTATCCTCTTGAATAACGTGTCTTTTCCTTACCACAAAATTTAAAACTGCCCTCTGTTAACAACATCACTAGTAGTACTAACTTGGCTTGCCCTCCATTACTGTTGTCATCGTAGTATTGCCATGCTTGCTCTTCACGCATACTTGTTGATTAAAACATGTACACAAGACCCTCTCTATTTTGGTTTCTCTGAGTTGATGTTCTTATTGTCCTGCCACTCAGACCTTATTGATAATATATCTTCACATAATTATGGTAAAGAAGTCACCTTTGTAAATTGTTTGTTTTTAACCATTGGCATGGGGGTTTCCCATCCTGATCTGATCAACATAAGATACTCATGAACTTTCTTTTGAGAATGTTTATAGATTTGTTTCATGTATCTTAATGTATCTATTCTGGTGCAATATACAATAAGTTTCTTTACATGTATATTATTCATTTTCAATTATATATCTATGAATCATCACTATTTAGTTTTTTCACATAGTAAAGTATATAAAATATATAAAATTATATATCTCTATGAATCATTACTATATGGGTTTTTCTCGTAAATCATATAAAATATATAAAATTATAAATATTTATTCACGTATCTTGCCATATGTGTATGCTGCCTTTTGTGTTTAGATACTGCCATATTGGCATGTCAGGGTCGTGTTGTATATGTATTTCGTAACTATATCCATAATTCCTAGCTCATGATGCTAATCGTTCTTATTCCTCTCATTTAAGTGTTTTTAACCCATTTTGATTTCATGACATTGTTGTGGTCATCTTACAATCTACAGCTTGAAGATTTGTATGTTGTACTTAATTATAATGTGCGAGATTTTGGATATTTGATTTGATTTGCCTGTGTTGCATTTATGTTCATGTATTGTGCCTCTAGAAGTTTCATATTAGTGTGTCGTAACTTGTATCTGTGCCCCTTTGCATGAAATTTCATCGATGAAGCATGGGCATGGAGACTTGACATGTATACTACTAGATACAACAGTGAGTTGCCAATAAGGCAAATTCTAAAAAAAAGTAAGACATGCACAAAATGAGGATATTGTACCAATGGGGAATATTCTTAGTTTATAAAATTGTTGCAAACATGCGAAGCATTGTCTTATGATTTTTGAATTGCATATGCTATGGGTGTAACACGAAAATTGTCACATATGAATGCAGTCCGGAGCAATTACTTCTGTCACATGGCAAAACTGATACCCATTTGTATGTTAGTGGATATATGTGGAAGCATGACATGAACATGGCTGCTTCCCATAAGCGCCCATGTTCCTGACTTTTGACTTTGCCAGCTCTTGTTCCTGCCAGATTATCCTCCATGTGCTGCATGTTTTTCATATAACGAATGCTTGATAAACCGTTGTAACAGATACTATAGATTTTTGACCCTCTTCTCTTGTCCCATTTCTTGTAGGGTATTTCTTATGGAGACCGAAAAGAAACATGCTTTACCTTAAAAAAAAAAATGAAAAAAATTACACGCATCTTTGAATTTTGTATCATTAATCTATGTTTAAAATATCTCATTGATCTGACCTTGTTATTAAACCAAATATGAGGAGCTACAAATTTTACTCGAGTTCTTTTGACTTAAGTCTGTAATTGCTTGCAGTTACTCCTTGCTCCCAGGCTACCGTTGCTTTAAACCTACTACAGGAGGGGAAAGGCTGTTTTGATTTGGTACTAAGTGATGTTCATATGCCCGATATGGATGGCTTCAAACTCCTCGAACTCGTTGGGTTGGAAATGGACCTTCCTGTCATTAGTGAGTAGTACTGCTATTTTAGCTACAGGTTATCAATCTGATTCCATAAGCTAACTCACATTCTGATTGCAGTGATGTCAGCGGATGGAAGAACCAGTGCTGTTATGAGAGGAATTAGACATGGGGCTTGTGATTACTTAATTAAACCTATACGTGAAGAAGAGTTGAAGAATATTTGGCAGCATGTTGTAAGGAAAAAGTGGAATGACAATAAAGAACATGAACAATCTGGTAGCTTGGAAGAAAATGATCGGCATAAACGAGGGAGTGATGATGTTGAATATGCTTCTTCTGTTAATGAAGGGACTGAAGGAATATTAAAAACACATAAAAAGAGGAGAGATGTTAAAGAAGAAGAAGATGATGATTTGGAAAATGATGATCTGGCCACATCAAAGAAGCCACGTGTAGTATGGTCAGTTGAGCTTCATCAGCAATTTGTTTGTGCCGTGAATCAACTTGGGATCGATAGTATGTGCTCTGACAAGTCCCTCAGAGTAGTTTATTTATCTGATTTTTATTTTTACATATATATGGGTATACTGAATTGCAATAAGTTGTTAGCATACTGTCAAACATAATTTGGCACGATTCTATTGTTTTCTTTCTACAGTTATTGTTTACCTTCTCTTTTTCTTTTTCTGTTTCCCAATTGCAGAGGCTGTACCAAAGAGAATACTTGAATTGATGAATGTTCCTGGCTTAACTAGAGAAAATGTTGCAAGTCATTTGCAGGTTTGATTGTCTTCTGCATATGAGTTGTCTTTTGTTGCAATTTTTGCATAAATGTCTTCTATATCATATAATTAGTTTTTACTCTTTGAGAAACAGTTACAAAGCCAAAGAGTAAGGGACGGATAGAAACACAATGGTTAGATTCAACTGCTTCAAAATCTCGTATAAAATTAAAGGCTGAACAATGATTTGTGAATGTAAGTTATTTACAATTGAAACCACTTGAAAACTCCACAATTGTTACATCAAGCTTGATATGGTCCCTGCTATTTTTTTCAATGGCTCTGCAGATAAACTATTATTGAAATATATGCTTTTGGTGCTGCATAGGTATTGTGATTGATTATTTTTCCTTATGATTGCAATAATTGAATTTCATACTCATGTTCGCAATATGCAGAAATTCAGACTATACTTAAAGAGATTAAGTGGAGTAGCTCAACAGCAAGGTGGGATTCCCTATTCATTTTGTGGGCCTATAGAACAGAATCCAAAACTTGGTTCACTGGCAAGATTTGATATTCAAGCTTTGGCCGCCTCTGGCCAAATTCCTCCACAAACATTGACGGTTCTACATGCTGAGCTTTTAGGTCGACCAACAGGTAACTTAGTGTTGCCAGCAATGGACCAGCCAGCTCTATTACATGCATCCATACAGGGCCCCAAGTGTAATCCCATTGATAATGGTATCACATATGGTCAACCTCTGATTAAGTGCCCACCCAACATTTCCCAGAATTTTCCTCACTCCATAATATCCGCTGAGGATGTTCATACAGGATTTGGAGCATGCCCATCAAGTAGCCTTGGCACCATTTGTCCAAGCCATGATCTTGGTGGTTTGGGTGCTCAGAATGGTAATGTGTTAGTGGGAATGTTACAACAGTTACAACAGCAACAGAGACAATCAATTATAGCAGAATCCAGCCGTTCAATTAACGTCCAGCCTTCTTGCATTGTGGTCCCTTCTCAGCCATCATTCAGTTTTCAGGCAGCAAATACTCATGCTTCCAGTAATTTGAATGGCACCTTAAATAGAAGTTCCGTTATTGATTATAGCCTTTTGTCACCCCAATCAAACAGTTCGTCCTTTGGTGTTGGACTAACATCTGATGGGGATCTAAAAACAATAAGTGTATTTAATGGGCACTCTATAGCAGGGTCTATTTCTCCATCTATGTCAACATGCTCAGTAAATGCTGACAATGGTTGTGGCAGGCAAGTTCAGAGCTCTACACCAACGTATGTTGCTGGCAGACAGTCACGAGGTCTAGTTTCTAACACTGATGGTCCTTATAGTTCTAAGGAAGTTCAAGGGCTTGACCAGGGACCGCTCAGGAACCTTGGTTTTGTAGGTAAGGGGACATCCATTCCAAGCCGTTTTGCAGTGGAGGAACCTGAATCACCTATAAGCAACTTGAACCAAGGAAAGATCTACGGGGAGAACGAAATTAAGGTGAAACAGGAGTCAAGTCTGGATTTTATTGAGAATGCTAATGTGCGCATCCCTATGTTGCAACATCATCCTTCAAATGATCTCATGAGTGTTTTCTCCAAATAGGTAATGTAGTCCACATCATGTTACTAGGTTTATTTACTCATTTACTTTTATTCATGAGGATTTCTGATCTGTCTTCTGAAGTTATGGTTTTTTTTCCTTTGGTTGGCCATTGGTGAATCAAATGTGTTGAGAAACTAAGACTTGTGCAATTTCTTGTAGATACCTCTTTGGATAACGGAATTAGGTTAGTTTGAGTGGGTATGCTGGCATTTGGAACTGGCATCGGGCGATATGATATACACACTGTCAACACTGTCAATAGAGTAGAGGTTGGGCCGTTGCAGTAGTGGATGTGCTACCACTTGGTGGTGTTGTCTTGCAGTAATTTTACCATGTCAATGGCTGTTGATGTGAATTGGCTTTATATTATTTAGGATGTATAGTGGCGTCTTCTTTATTTTTCATGAATTTGCAAAGAGGTGTTTTAAAACTGCGTACCTTTAAATGATGGGGTTGGGAGTATTAGGATTTTGCTTGGTTACTGAAATAGTCATCTTGCTTGGTGACAGTGGTTACATCTTTCTGTCCACTGGCATAATTGCACACAAAGTTCCTGTTGCTTCTGAAATCTACTTTACAGTTCTTGTTGTGTGCCCTCTTGTTAGCTTGCACAGTGTGTGGTAGTCATATGGGTTTCTGCTGCCCTTAGTAGTCATATGGACTTATTTATGTCAAAATGAGGTGTCAATGTGCGTAAACCAAGATGTGATTCTCCATAAGCCTTTGATCTACTTCTAAAAACATTGTTGATTTACTTGCATAAAATTCTTTCATTGTCTGCTCTCTTAGAAAAAAAGGTTTGGCCTTGATTTGGCTTGGATATTGATGTAGAACAAGAATTAAAAATTATTATCTATTTTCTTTTTATTTTTTAGCAATAAATATAGTTGCGAGATGCTAGAGGTATAAATGTAGTAGAGGTATTAATGTAAGTAGTTGGTAGATGTAGTTGGGAGGTTGTAGAGGTATTCATGTGAGTAGTTGCAAGATATAGTTGGGAGATGGTAGAGGTATTAATATGAATAGGTGAAAGATGCATTAAAGGTAGTTGAGAGATGGTAGAAGCTTTTCTTGAGCTCTATAAAAAAGGTCCTTGTGAAACCATTTGAATCAATCAATCATTCGAATCAATTCCATCAATAGAGGTTTCTCTATGGATTCCATAGAGTGCATGCTTTCTTTTCTCAAGGGAACGGTGATTGCCTTGTGTTCTTCATTTACTGCTCCCGTGAAGGTGATCATATGGAAAGATCAGTGTCGAATTCTTTAGTTTTTGGCGTGGGATCTGGCCAGCATATCGTGATTTTCAATCGATTTAGTTGCTCGGTCAATGTGGAGAACGAATCAAAATTCAGATCATGATAGGATTATCAACAATGACAGAGCTCGTGTTTGACCAATTCGAGATCTCAAGTCTATTCTCATTAGATGACAACATACTTATAATTTAGATTCTAGCGATGACGATGATGATTATGCTCCAGGTATGTGTGGTGCTTGTAATCGTACTAGAGGATGAGTCTAGAATTTTTTTTTTATGAAAGTTAACCTATGTAGTTTTGATGGTTATGTTCATAAAGAAGATTTCTTAGATTGGTTGACAAAGGTTAAGCGGATCTCTAATTACATAAAATTCTTGAAGAAATAAAGGTGGGTTTAGTGGTATACAAACTAAAAGGTTGAGCTTTTGATTGGTGGGTGGAGATACTAAAAAACTAGTCTATTGTTAGGCCCAAATCTAATTAGATAACTATTTAAAGTTAAATTGGGTTGGACTTAAATTTTATAAGCCCGAATAATAAAAACTAAATGCAATTAACTAGGTCTGTCAAATTAAATTAAATTGGATCTAAATTCTATAAGTCCAAACAATATAAATCCATTGAAGTCTATAAATTTAAATGAATATGGGTCGCCCACTAGCAATAGCCCATATAAGGATATTCAGGTAAAATATCTTTATATGGATAACTAATTCCAACATTATAATTAGGGGTTTAGAAGAAAGCCAAGAAGTAGGCCAAAGAGGGAGCTAAAAAAGCCAAGAAATAGGCCAAGAAGAGAAGTCAAAGAGGAGGAAATATAAAGAAAGTTTTGCTCGAATTCATCTCAGGTGGAGAATGTAAGATCCATAGTGAAGTTCTGTCGGAGTCTCCCTCCAATTGAAGTTTTGCAAGTCCATCTCTGAAGAGAAGTGCAAAGTAACAAGGTCTTTCTTCAAGAAATTCAAATAATCTTCAAGCCATTCAACACAAAGAATAGTGAAAAATACAAGAAAGTCATTATCAAATCGAAGAACGAGAACCACATTAATCCGACCCTCATCTTCATCAAATCTACCAAATCAAAGATCAAAGAATGAAAATCACGTCAATTTGATTCTTGTCTTTAACAAATTCACCAAAGTCACCATCAATTTGAAGATTAAGAATCATGTTGATCACACATTCATTTTCAACAAATCTACCAAAGCAATCATCAAATCAAAGAACGAGAACCACGCTAGTCTAGCCCTTATTTTCATCACATTCTTCAAAGTCGCAAATAAATCAAAGATTTAGAAATACGCTGATCCAAGCCTTGTCATCATCAAATCCATTGAGAATCAGAGGAATCATCAAATAACATTATTTTTTGTGTTAATTTTACACATGAAATTTGTCGTTATTATATATTGCATTTTTAGTGGGTGGCCCACTAGATAACTACTTCCACTGTTTTATAAATAGAGGCTAAGAAAGAAAAGTCAAGGAGGAGGAAAAATTGAGATAGTTCTGTCCGAGTTCATCTCAAGAGGCCAAGAAGAGGACGCCAAGGGGGAAAGCCAATAGAAGCAAAAGAAGAGGGAAGATCAAGAAAGCTTTACCTGAATCTATCTCAGGAGTAGAAGAGATGAGCAGTAGCGAAGTTCTACCGTAGTTTCCTTCCAACTGAAGCATTGTAAGTCCATCTCTGAGGAGAAGAGTGCACCACAAAGGTCCTTCTTCGAGAGATTCAAATCATGTCAAGCCATTCAATACAAAGAACGGTGAAAAGATCTACCAAAGTTTGATATCAAATTGAAGAATGAGAAATAAGTTAATTCTACTATCGTCTTAAACAAATATACCAAAAGCATCACCAAATCGAAGATCGAGAATCATGTTGATCAGGCTCTCGTTTTCACTAAATCCATTAAAGTTCACCATCGAATCGAACGAGAATCACGCGGATCCAACTCTCGTATTCATCAAATTCATCAATGCCACCACCAAGTCAAAGATCGAGAATTAGAGGGCACACCAAATTTCATGATCTTCCCTCTGGTTTGGCTTCTCTTCTTGGCCTTCTTCTTGACTTTCTTGGCTCCCTCTTTGACATCCCTAATTTTCTTCTAGACCCCTATGAATACTGTTGTGAAGTAGTTATCCATATAAGGATATTTTACCTGAATACCTTTATATGAGCTTTAGCTAGTGCGTCATCCATATTTATTTTAATTTAATTTAATTTGACAAGCCTGGTTAATTACATTTGGTTTGTATTATTTGGGGTTTTGAAATTTAATTCCAACTCGATTTAATTTTAGAAAGTTATCGAATTGGATTTTGGCCTAACAATAGACTAATATTTTTGTGTCTATAGTGGGAACATGTGAAATTATCTAGTGCAAGTAAACAAAAGTCTAAAGTTCTTTCATAGCAAAAGATGAAGCGGATATTAAAAGCGAGATTTGAACCTTCACATTATAATGTTTATGAAGCCGAAGGATACCTATATGATGCATATTGATCTGTGAGGCAAAAAAGAAAGTTGGGATTCAAACAGTCAAATCGAGGTAATATTGGGTTACAATCTTTTGCATATTATAAGGATTATGCTGTCACTCGAGTCTTGTATCAAAGCCCCCACCCACGACTACAGATTTTTCAACTACTTGGGTGGCTTAGAAAGTTAAGGAAGAAAGATAAAGGAACAGAATATCCCATGTTTTAAAAACATGCGATTCCAAATCAAAAAAAATTAATTGTTATCAAGAAGAACAGATTGAGACAAAATTAGTGAAAAAGTCACGGGTGATGCCACGATCTAAGAAGCATGGACATGGATATGACACGATATGGACTCGTAGATATAAGATTTCTAAAAAATGTAGCACACGGATACGTTGAGACAAACTATAGATAATTATGTTTTATGTATAAAATTATATAATTTATCACAAATATAATGATATATTATTCATAAAAAATTCAGTACTTATGATAAGTAAATACTTATGATAAGTAAATGTTATTTTTAGTCATCTTGTGTGCATTTTTGGACTAAAGCATAATAGTAAGTAGTCGTCATTTTTTTATAGACAACATGTATCAAACATATATAATTTAAATGATCACTCCTATTTTCTCAATTTGTTTTTTCAGATCTTTTTGCATATTTTGCTTTTATTGTTATATATGATTACAACTTTAATATTTCTTGTCTTGGTAATTATATGTTCTCTTATAATATAAGACACTCATTAGTTGAACTTGTAAGTTTAGTTGAACTTGTAAGTTTTGTTAATCACTGTTAACACATGTTTATTGTTTATGGTTTAAACAAGTGTTGGATACGCCACTAAAGAAGTGTCGGATACGAGTCCGAAATTAGAATTTTGTTATTTAATTATGGATATAGATAAAAAGTATCGGACACGCATCCGAGAGTGTCCAGGGAATGTCGATGTCTGACACACATCACCTTCTTGAGAGTGTCCGTTCATAGGCCATGACAATTGAAGTCTTTGTAGTAACTCGATAACTTGGTATTTAATGAAACCAATGAAGAAGACAAAGTTGTGATGAAATCTTGGAATGATGCTGTTTATATCATCTTTCTTGAGCATCACAACATTTCAAGCGGGACAGTAAACTTGCGCTATGAATTTGTTGATGAAGTTAAATTTAGTTATTCGACAAAGTTGGATATTGATAATCCTAACATTTTTGTGTTGGAACTAAGTCAACATAAGGTGAATGGGAGATTTAAGGTCATGCTACGATTATCAAAGGATGTTGAATGAAAGATTGTTTTACCAGTCCTTGAGGGAATAACAGATTCACATTAAGTTATGTTTGAAAAGATTAATCTAAAAGGCAAAGTTGATACATATAAACGAAGACTTAGGGAGTTGTCTCAAGCAATGCAAATGCGAGGACGTTTTTTTTTTTGTTTTCAAGAGGGATGGTTTGATGTAGAACAAGAGTTAGAAATTATTATCTATTTTTATTTTTTAGAATTAAAATGTAGTTGGGAGATGGTAGAGGTATTAATGGAAGAAGTTGAAAGATGGTAAATGTATTAATAAAGGTGTCCATGGGCGAGTTGGGCTAGGCCCATGCAAATTTTTCCAGGTCGGGCCTAGGTAGGATAGGCCCAAACCCTTATTGGAGTAAGGTGGATCGAGTTTCAAGTAGGAGTAGACTATCTGCCACTCACAGAGCGGGCTTTTTTTATATACGCATCTTCATTTAAAAAGTTTTCAATTTAGTATTTTTATAAATTATATTTTTAAATTAAAAATAGAGTCAAAATGAACAAAAAATAAATAATAAATAATTTTATTTTAGAGGAATTATTTAGTATTTAAGTAAATTTTTTTTTTTAGAGGTATATGCCACTTAACTTTCAATAGTCGGTTTTCTCTAACAAAATGG